TTGAAGTTAATTTTAATTCAGAATCTACACTACAATGCAAACATCAGATTTTACAAGTTTTGAACTGAACTTGAGCTGCAAGCTGAATTCCATGCAGGAGAACGGCAAGCAAAGGTGCAAGTAACTTAAGTGCAATGAGGACTTGTTTACCACTTTTAAATACAGAGAACTTTCCAAAGATAGGACTACTTGATGTTTGGTTCTTCCCTGAAAATGTTCACAGCCAAGCTGGTCTGCAATAAATCATGTGTCCCTGACAGAACTGCAGGAATGAGGCAGCTATTCACTCGGTAGGCTACGATGACAATCTAGCGAGCTCTAAAAGTGAGACTCATGAGGTAAGAAATTATTGTTGACAATGCGGACTCTCTCAATTTAAAGAACATGATTTTCATTGAAAAGTTATTTTTCATATTTGGTTTTTAAATAGTGATCCTTTTGTACGAAGTCTCTGCTCTGCTCTTTAAAACCCCAAAAATAGAAAGGACTGATTCAGATGCTAAATATAGTCTTACTCTTCCCTTCAAACATTTAGGGAAATTGTTTTCCTTGCTGACAGATAGATGAGAGGAGTGATGGCACTCCTCTCAGGATCATGAATAGCAATGTGCATTGCAACATTTTCATAAAACAATTTTCTCCCACAATCAGGACATTGTGATTATATAAGAGAGCACTACACAAGGCTGCCATGGTTATAAAAACATCCACATCCGAGTTGAAATCATTAACTCTCCCAATCTTCCACCAATCTTGATCATCATCTATAAAGCCAACAAATTCTGCGAAGGAGGCAACGAGTCCTAGCCAATCAGAGACAGAGTAGAATACATCAAAACTACTGTAAATAACAGGCTTTGCAAATGCAAATGGCTGTGAAAGAGGTAATGTGGATAAAAGGGCACTTTGACATTATAAGAAAAACTCTCTTGTACACTTATTGCTACGGTCTCATTGGTTATGCTAAGGTTGCCTGCTATCCTGGTTTAATCCATTAAAAGCCAGCCACCGGCAAATATCCGTTTTTCCCAGAATTTCAAACTATTCCTGTAATATCATGCAAATGAGTGAGTGGACAAATGAAGTGTTACATATTTCAATGTATCTTTAGAAATCAAGGCTCTCAGAGGAAGTTGAGTTTGTCTGAGGTATAAACATCAGAGTTAGTTGATTCTGAACCGAGTGGGGGAGCAGAGGTAACGGTCATCCCCTTAAATTCAAACGTTGGCTCAGGGTCAGAGTGGACAGGGACAGTTGGAGCGTCTGGCTGCTCTGCTGGAGCTGAAACCTGGAGAGAAAAAGACGTGTCACAGTGTATCAGAGCATTACAAGCAGGCTAAAAGTGATGGATTTTAATACAGATATTAGCTTCTGTTGTTGTGGAGAATATTAATGTCAAATTTGATACATTCTCATACAACAATGTATCGTTAGTATTATAATGTGGATACAATATCAGCATACTGACTGAATAAAAAGATATATATATATATATATATATACTGATTTACCAGTTTCACCTGTATACCATACTAACTTCAGAGTAGGGCTGTTGTGTTGGGTTGCATTAAGGTTACTTATTATGAATAGTTATAGTAGAAGTTACGTACTATGTGGATAATAACAACAGGGCATGGTTTTTAAGTTTCCAAAAAATGTCAGATGGTGGAACAATTGAAAAGCAAAGATTACACAAATTAAAAATTTAAAAGTACACAAGCACAAGAAAGCATGATTTTCTACCTCAGAATAAGATGGTGGCAAATCCACAAAAGGATGATCGCGTACCTACAGAGTAAAGCAACACATGACGTATTAGTTGTGGAGGAGCAAGAGCATAAGCAGAGCTCAAGTGTTGAGCCAACAAGAGAAAGGTTCTCCCTATGAAATGCAACACACACTAACCAGCGGGTCAGTCACAGTAGAAGAAGGCTGATCGGTGTCATGTGTCCCAGAGGGATCAATGAGTTGGCCTGACCTCGGTCCAACAGGCTCAGTGTCATACTGCGGTTTGAACACAACAGAAACACAATGAGTAATTATGATATCAACAGCAGGACCTTTAACTATAGAGGATTGTACACACAGGTAAGGTAGCCTCACCTCTTGGTATTGAACATCTGGTTCAGCAGCAGCAGTCTCAGATCCGTTCTCTTCGGACTTGCTCTTACCACAGCAGCAGCACTTCACGCAAGAGCAGAAAAGTGAGACGAGGAAAGCACCAATCCCAATACCAATATGAGATGGCTCGTAAGGTAGTGCTGAAACAATCCGTCAATTAGTTGATGGGCAGAGAATGTATCGCCAACAATTTTGATTACTGATCAATCGTGTAATTTGCAAGAATGTTTTTATATATTTGCTGTTTTGAGTGTGAGGATATCCTTCTTTTCTCTGATTCGTATTGCTGTTTACTTTCTTCAACGTAAAAAAAGAAAGATGTCACCAAGAAGTAGATAAAAGAAAGTATTTACATGACGATGTAATAATCAAACAAAACAGTCATCTGACACTTATTCAAAAACACACAGGTTACTTACTTCTCATTTTCAATGACATGGCTGTGGCTGGGTCGTCATTCTGATCTCTGATCTCATAGCGTCCGCTGCATGACATCTGGAGGACCTTATTTGAAATCCCACATGGCTCTAAAAGATCAAACCCTGTGCAACCAGATGCATCCAAACCCCCCTGCAGCTTTCCTTGATGAACTATCATTTTGTTAATCGTCAACTCTTCCGGCTGATCGTCGCTTCCTGGGAAGAAGTAAATGTTGCAGGAGTTTGGTTCCAGATCATGAGTGAATTCGAAGAGGTCACCAGGTTTCCCTTCAAAGTACTTTGTGATTTCTGTAAGACAGGACGCACAAGACCCAAAATGTTCTGAGTACCAAACACTCCTCCAGTACAGTTTATGGTTTTGTCTTTCTAACAGCATGGCAGCTGTGATCAGCTTGAAGGAATAATCCTACATTTGGGTCCAATTAGTTATTTGCTTTCTTACTGAGAGTTAGGTGAGAAGATTGTTGTTTCCAGTCTTTGTGCTATTTTCCCAAAATGTGGTTCTGTTCCTTTAAATTCATGTCCCTTACAATGGATTTAAATGATAATTTTTTATCTATATGCTCATATCTTCCAAAGGATTTCCTCCAAAATATGGCTAGATACACTTCTTCCATCTTGTGTGCATCAGTTTGCACTCATTGAGTTCCTTCATTGGTCCCTTTACACAATCGTTCCCTGTTTGAGTGGTGAACCTTGGAGCCAATCAGTTAACTACAATAAATGGAAACCAAAAGCCAAAGCAGTTGGTCAGACTGGTCAGTAAGTGAGCATATGAATGAACAGCATTATGCTGCAGCAGTGGTTTCTAACGACTTTCTGATGCTTTTCAACTGTTAACAAGGTGAATCCAAAGTGACTGCAGCCGCTGTACTCTGCAAAGGATAAAACTACAAACGCTTTAGGCTAGAAAGCTATTTGAAGTAAGTTAACAAGTTGATTCTGAAGTATTATTACTTCATTAAATATAAGGATTTTTTGACACGGTGAACATTCAAAAACACATTCATCTGACACTTGTTAAAAAACACAGGTTACTTACGACTCATTTTCATTGACACCACGAAGGCTGTGTTGTCATTCTGATCTCTGATCTCATAGCGTCCGCTGCATGACATCTGGAGGACCTTTTTCGAAATGCCACATGGCCCTAACAGATCAAACCCTGTACAACCAGATCCATTCAAACCCCCCTGCAGCTTTCCTTGATGAACTATCGTATTCTTCAACTTTCTCGGCTGACGGTCGCTTTCTGGGAAGAAGTAAATGTTGCAGGAGTTTGGTTCCAGACCATAGTTGAAGGTGAAGTGGTCACCAGTTTTCCGATAATATATCAATGCGGTTGCTGGAAGACAAAAAAGAGAGAGTATATCAAAGTGATATCGCAAAATCTTTTGAGTATCAAACTCTGCTCACGTTTAGTCTCGGTTTCATATAGCATGGCAGCTGTAATCAACTGAAATGTTGTTATTTACTTAACATTAAAGGAATACAAGTTATCTCATGACACTTTTCATAAAGAGCAGATCTAGAACACACTCATTAAACTTTAATAAGAGCATTAGCAAGCATGTGGGTGATGGCGGCAAAGTAAAACTCCTCCTTAACGGGAAGAAACCTCGAGCAGAACTAGGCTGTGGGCTAACTTTTCCTGATGTTTCCAATCGTTGTGCTAAGCTAAGCTAAGCAACTCATATATCTTCATGTTTACTGTATAGACAGGAGAGTTATCAATGTTAATATATCAGCAAGAAAGTGAATAATCAAATTCCCCAAAATGTGGAACTGTTCCTTTAAACACAGTATTATCTTGACCCACATTGCCGTGCAACCATACTATTATACTAACTGACAGTCAATTTAATATTACGCTTGCTTAAAATGCTTAAAACCAAGTGACTAAGAAAAGAGTGTGACGGCCACAGTGTGTTGACATAAAGAAGTGCTGCGATAGAAAATTAAATAGATTGACAGCAAAGAAGGATCTTCACCTTTTACTTCAAGTGTGTAGTTGGATATTTCTTTCAGATCTTTGTCTCTCATTGTGTAGCGACCACTGTCTTTCTGAGTTAAATGAGATATTCTAAAGTAGCTGGCTGTCATTTTAAACTTTTTGTCCAACGTGACTGAACGATCACCCTGTTTCCACAAGATCGTCACGTTTGAGTTGTCGTTGGGGCTGAACTCAACGAAGTCAGGCTTCCTGAGCAGCCGAATGTAAATGGTGTCCCCATAGTACTTCTCCTCATGACTGCCGTGGGAGAGGCCTGGTGAGAGAAAGTCCAAAAGCAACATTATGAAGGTACCAGACATCTTTTTGGAACTTTTTGTCATTCTTTTCCTAAATTATTCGAATATGCATCTATATTTTAGAATTGTACTTGTTTTTGACTACAATACATTTAAATGTCACATAATTGAGCAACCTTTGTGAGTAAGTAATAAACCTGGACATATATAATATCACAGTATACATAATGTGATACTAATTAGTTCTATGTTTTCCATCTGGATTCAATAAAGGCGTGTCATAATTAACATACAGATCTTTTACTGAAGTAAGAGTAGCAATACCAAAGTGCAAAAACACCTTGTTACATTCAAAATAGTCCAACATCTATAATTATTGTGATCGCATTCTTTTAGTACATTTAATTTACAATGATATCATTTTGTATATGATATCAAAGTAATTCACCGTACTAATCTAAATGCAGCCGAGTAGAAGTCTAACGCAGCATTAACTGGAAACACTCAAGTATAAATACCTTTCAATTGTACTTCCAGTACTACAGCCGCGTTAAATGCATTTGGTAACTTTCCACCACAGACATATTACTTCCTTCCTGCTGAGTCAAATACTCGAGGTAAACAGGATATAGTCTTTAAAGCAGTCTCGCTAAAGCACGATTAATAATTAGTCTTAACGTTACTCACCCATACAAACAAAGGCAACCAGCAACAACAACACGACCATCATCTACCGTCTTTCCAAACACGAGACACGAGTCCAGTGTAAACCGTCTTGGGACCAGTTGACAGTTAAGCAAGACTTAACTGTTCAGACTGAACTGATGACAAACACTTCAGTGTGTTCGCAGTGTTGAGACAGTAGTCGTACAATGCACACACTCCGCCCTATATCGTTATTACTGACATAATACAGTGACTTGCTGCAGTGGGGAGCTCGGATGTAAAATAAGAAAAGGGCGTGTCAATGGATGCCCACTTGATGCGTTTACGTATCATTGGAAATTCGAGTTTGAGAGCCCACGGGTCATTTGAGGTCAATAAAATCAGACCCAAATGGAGAAAGTTGAAGATGAACAAACATTCCTTTATTAGTCCCACAGTGGGGGAATTATTCTCTGAATTTGACCCATCCCTGTATATATAGGGAGCAGTGGGCTGCCAATGACAGGCGCCCGGGGAGCAGTTAGGGGTTCAGTGTCTTGCTCAGGGACACTTCCGACACAGGACACGGTGCAGCCGAGGATCGAACCGGTGACCTTTCGGTTGGCGGACAAACCCTCTCTACCCAGTAAGCCACGGTCGCCCCGTGAAGTGTAACATATGAGGGGACCGTTTAGCACGGACGTTTCCAACTGAATTAGAATGTCTTTCAAACGTCTAAATCACACTTAAACGCATTCTGGTTATAGAGCAGAAATCCTTTGTAACTACTTATTCATTTTACACATGTAAATCCGTTTTCCTCACGAGGAGTAGCATAATACACAAGGAAACATTCAGGATTGTCTTCTCTAGCTCTGGGTATCTCGGACTGTGCTTGAGACCTAAGGTCCCCTCACACCTGTAGTTTGGTTATTTGGTCTGGATCAAGAGGGGGAAAAGATATATTGTTGCGTTTTAGTTCTTTAGCCTTTAAACAGCAACATGAAGTTAGGCAATCACATAGAATATTAATTTCTCAACCACAAATAAGATAAATTTGAAAGCTGATATCCAACTATAATATAACTGTGAAAGGAGATGCTTTCTTTTGGTAAGAAAGTAGATTGTACTGCATACTTCAAAAACTTAAAAGGTACAGAGTACTTGTATTGTTTGCATTATTTTTTTTCAATAAACGGAGTTTGTTTTTGGATTATATTGTGGCGTCCATACTTTTACATAATTGCGTCTCTTTATATGTTGCTTTACAAAAGGTTGTAGTTGTCATGGCACACTGATCTAAAAGATGTGGCTCAGAGTAAATTTGATACTACATTGGATTCATGTGGTAGTGCAGCTAACCTCTGGGATTTTATTCAGTCCAGTGAGGCAGTTTATTTAGCTCTAAAACAATAGGAGAAAACTTCATTCCAAAACACAAAAGCCAAAGTATAGTTACATATCTTTACATATAATGCAGACAAATATGTATATACAATATTCATATTTTACATTGATTATGTAAAAGTTTCCGGTAAAGGACTTATTTCTTTACAAAGCATAGCACAAATAAAAACATCACATACAATTTGTCAAAATCTTATGATAAAGGCCACACAGACACGTTGATAAATATGGCTGTTTAAAACAACAATGTAAAACACATAAGTACAGATGGTAACAATGGCTCGAATTGCTGTGTGGTGTTCTGATCTCCATGAGTGCAGTCAGTGTGATGTCCTCACTCTCTAAAATCTGCTGCAGACTCACTTTAGGTCATCATTGTAACATTTCTCTTAC